CTGTTTTTCTTTTTTTTTGTTCTTTTTTGTCTGGTATTTCAAAACATCACATATTGGTGGTGGTGGTGCTTGTGAGAGAATGACTTAAAATAGATTACATTTCTTGCTGTTTGAAGTATTAGAAGCAAAAACAAAAACAACCAATTTTTCGAGATTTTTTTTATTTTCTATCTCTATTTTATTATCTTTCCTCACTTAACTTTTTAAGCATTTTTCTCAAATGTACTTTCAAAATGTTTTAGGGCTTTTATGCAAATCGTGCAACGCGCCGAGTGTATTAAGTTCGAAATAAGTATTCTTTTCCAGTATTAAGTTCGAGAAATACAATATAAATTAGTATTGAAGTATATTTTTAATCTCTATCTTTTCGAATATCGTAAAAATTTAAAAAGAATTTTAAAATACTTGCGGATATTTTAATGCAAACAATGTTCCCAACGAAAGGAAAATGGAAAAAAATTAATTGTATTTAATTCCCAGATGGAGGCCCCCTACTTGATATATCGATCGTATATCGTAGTATGAAAATTTTATTTGGTTACACTTCATGGGGTCATTTATATATGGAGGAGTTTTGGAAATTATAAGCAAACTTTTATTTATATTTAGCTGATTATTAAACTTGAGGCGTATAGGAAATATTTGAAATCTAGAATACTGACTTCAAAATTTACTCAGAACTGAAAATTTTTCATATTTTAATTAAATGGGACTTATGGTCTGAGTTGTCTGATTTCTGAACTTAATCTGACGTACAGAGAGACAATTAGCGAGGAAACAGAAAGATATATTGGGTCATAGTAAGACTGTCACACAAAAAATTAACAAACAAACAGGTTGCCAGACGGGCGAATATGTCCACATCAACTCAACTGCTCACTTCGACCAAGAGTATAACATATATTGTTTATAGATTTATGCATTATAAATCGGCAGATTCATGCAAAGTATAATATATATATATATATATTTTAGGAATTTAAAAGAGAAAATATAGCAATGTATCATTTTCAAGCTATATACTACAGTACACTTGATGTCGCCGAAGTATGCCAGATGCAGTGTTTTTTGAGCTGTGAATATATGGAGTTATGTTCCAAATGGAAACGTTTTGAGTAAAGTGTTACGCTCTCTATTTAATATGAAGAAAAGTGCGCTTGAAAAATTTATACGGAACAGAATCTTGAAACATCAGTCGGCATCCACGTCAAAGTCACATAGTCAGTAAGCGAACTTCCTATAATTGGCGAAATCTGCTGGCATATGATCTCGTAAGCGTGATTGCGCCAGAGAGAACCACTGATGTTTTGGACCTAATCAGACGAAAAGTAGAACGACCGCATTATGCCAAAATGTATGACAAATTGTGTTCTTAGCAATATGGCATTCGGTAGCATATTAAGTGAAACGTCAATATGTGGCTTGAAGCTGCTCAGACAGTGCTTTCCTTGTTACGTTGCAATAATATAATTATATTTTTAAAAAAGGAGTCCTTTTTTAAATAGAAGAAGACAGACGACTTTTTGTTCTTCAACACGGAATTACTTTGTAACACTTTGACCAAAATACATTGCACTTCAGCTTTTCTTGGCGCGTTGTACATTTTAATTGTAAAATATTTCAAAATTCATGTATATTCTCATTAATATACCCTCTGCGACGAGTGCAACAAAATGATTATATTTTCAGCGGCGAGCCTCTTAAAAATACCTTTTCTCAAACATTTAGAAAAAATGAGAGATTTAAGCGCAATTTGGGAAAGTAAAATGCGCTCCATTTTGCAAAGAAACTTATTTTACTGAAATGAAGCGTAAATCATATCTTTTTGTGATTAGCTAAGTATTATTAAAATTTTTTTTTGCTTCATCGGATTTTGATGAGAGATTATAATAAAATAGTCTGCGCTCAGCTTACGTCCACATTCAATTCTTATCTATTAAAAGGTAAATTATAAATATTAAGCTCTGTAATTCCACATCTTTAACAATAAATACTTAGCCTACATATGAATAATATTCAAGCAAAAATTTGCCCGACTTTGCGAAAACTCTACGGGTTACTCTAAAAGTTTACTTATGAATCAATTTCAAACTTAAACTGACACACACAGTCCTTCATTGTCACATATAGATTACTATATTGAAGTAGTTAAACTAAAATCAGCTATTCATAAGATCATGCGATCCAGAAAGTATTTTGCTGATTGTGTGTCGTTGCTCCAAATGGGGTTTTGTAAAATACGGATACAAAATCTTAAGGCAATATTAGCTATCGGCTTTGAGCCATAGCTTTCCGACCATCTCATTCCAGATCATGCTAATTTCCATTGACGCGTTGCAGTCATGCTTCAGTTTTGAATCTCAACTTTTCCTATTGTGATATTATTAGTTGAGCATGTAATCTCTTATGTTCGAACTTTCTTAAAACTCTCGTTTAAAGATTACTTTAGCTTTCGACTTATCATTTACCCATTTAAAGTCATCAAGTTTCAATCATCCAACTGCCTTTACATGCTATTTCAACTTGTCAGATCTAATAGAACTCTTCAAATAGTCATTCCCTCAGTCGCTGATAAGTCGTTCGTAGTAAACTGCGGCCAATGTTGGAACAATCTCCCATTAAATAGTATAAGTCGCGACGTTGGGATTAACAAACATTTAAACAAATATTAATTAACTTGAATAGTCTTTAGGTGCATGCTATGTATTCATGCAATGTCCATTTATTCATACATATACATACATCCCTTCTTTTTCGCAAACGTTGCAAGGGCTTTAGGTATGTATTTAATTTACTTACATAATTATACTTTAATTGTTAAAGTACTCGCATATTGTAAAATAGGTATACTATCTAACTAAGTAAGGACTAGACCATCCTTAAGGTTTGCAGTTAGGAAATAAGATGAATAAAGGCTAATAATAAGTCGATATGAAATATGTTTTATGAAATTTTTAAGCTGTGGTCCTAGGTAACTCTTATCGAATTGCAATATTAGCGTGAACCTCACATGTCTATGACATGTTGCATCTATAAGTCAGTTTAACAATTTATTTATTTTGTTGTTTTTTTTATTTGTTTTTTTATTATTATTAAATAATAAATTTTATTGTCATGTTTATAAACATGCATCCATGTCATGCATGTTTTTATCTTCCGGAAAATATAAAAAAAAAAAAATGAAAGTATTTTTCAATGCATTTCTATAAGAACAAAATAAAATGCAGCAGCAAAAAAGGGATATGCCATCAGTTGTTTCCCTTTAACATTGCCATGGCTTTATATGTAACACTATCGTTCTCTCTGTGTTATTTTTTGTTTACGTATATATTGGTGAAATCTAAGATAGAATACGGTGTGTTTACTTTATCAATTCATATGTAACCTACTCAAGAGCAAAATACACATTGAATATTGAGTCAGCGACAATAAAGGTTACTTTTGTCGTTTTGTATAAGCAAAAGTCGAATATGGAAAGAAAACCGGCATTTAAATTAATATTTTTCTATCATACTGTACGGTGTTATGTGTAAAGGCTTTGATTTGATTTGGTTTTAGTGGAAGAAAAAGCAAAACACATTCATCCACCATAGATATACAGACGTACACACGCGTATATTTATATTTACAGCTAACTGTTTTGAGTGCGTTAGTTGTCATGTTATGCATTATGTTACTGGCTTAGTTTTATAAATCGTTTCATTGTTTATGTTACTGCTTTTATCTTTCTGTGAGTTGCTTAATAAAAAAAAAATCTTTTTTTTTACATTTTGCTGCACTGCCCTCGGCGGTAATGTTTACAGCACAGTGCAAAGCTGCACAATGAAGTAAAAATCTAACATTTATGCTGCGCTTCGCTTCAACAATTGCTGACGAAACAAAAACCAAAAGTTCCGGTTTTCCGGCACAAAATGTTAAACATTTTCGTTGCTTTCCCTTTCTCAGAAATATTTTTTATTAAGAAATTTCTTGCCGTTAAGAAATTTCGAAGTCCTTGGAATTTTCGTTTGAAAACTTCACTAAAAGTTATTATATTATATAGTAACATCCATGCAATCACTTTAGCTCGCCTATACGGAAAACATATTCGATTAAAATGCGGGACAACTCAGCTATATCCATTAATCGATATAATAAATTAATCATCGTTTCAACGAATAAATTTAATTTTTTACCCAACACTGACGGAGGGGTGTGAAAACATTTCCAATACCCTAAAAGAAAGCTTAAGAACGGCAACAAGGCGTATACATTCTTTATCAAATTCTAATCAAATTCTACATCAATCAATCAACCGTATGGTCGGCTATCCATCTGCTCAACGTCCTTGGTAGGCCTCATATTGGTCGCAAATTTCAATACCGTAATATATTCCAATTTCTCGGTAGAGGCACCGACTCCACTTTCACATTCACACTTTGCGCCTCAGGTCCATTCAATGGATGAATGGATTAATGATTTTAAAAGAATATAAGACATCTGTTAGCATACATTAGCTTGTAGCCTCCCAGCAGGGACACATTTGGTGCAGCCAGTTTTTTGGAAGGCATTTATAATCTTGGGAGAGAAAATTTCGTTCAGATAATGAATCTCTTCTCATATTTTAGAAGATTCAAAGCATCAAAAGAGTAGCTGAATAAGTACGAATCGCAACTACCAAGAGAGTGCTTGCGGTTTCAAATCTCAATGCAGTAGAGTTTATTTGGGTCGTAGTTATAGTGAACGTTCTGTCGGCATAAGGATAATGCTTACCAGTTAGGCACATAGCCACTAGGCGGTGCCTAGTTCCCGCATAAAGAATACAGTGAATATTATTCTCTATAGTTCATCTATTACCGATGAATAGATTTTATCCACTCATTTACTATGAACGGCAATAAATTCCTCTTAGTTGCAATTCATTATTCATTTAAATTGAATATAAACTCCAATAATTTCTTTAATTAATTAATTACATAACAAAATTAACTGAATGCAGATTTGTTTTTTGGTATTAAAAGTTAATTATCCGGCTTTTTTTCATTTTGCTTTCCCTTCAACTCAATTGTAAGATGTTCGTTCAAATTCTCGATCACTTCAATAAAATTCGAATATTTCTTTAAATCTCTTTCGTCTAAGGTCTTTTTAACTTCCTCAGCTTTTTCAATGAATTGCTTAAGGAAAGGGGGGCAAAGTTTTTTGAATTCCTCGTCAAATTTATCCAAGCCATGTTTATTTAGGTAGCCTTCGATTAGAATATCGATCTTTGTGGGGCTTTTCATATCTTCGGTATCAAACCTCTCCATAAGTTTATAGAAATGCACGAATGAACTTAATTTTTGTTCAATATCAGCAGCACTTTTAGCCTCTTGCAAATGTTCAGTCAAGTTTTTGACAAATTCCTTAACATTCTGATCCTCGTTATTCGTAACTTCCGTATCGGCAAGGACATCTTCACTTACCTTTACTGATCTTTGGTAAAAGTATTCAAAAAAATTTTTAGTGTCATTTGCAATGGAAAGTATGAATTCATCCTTAGCAGATAAAAGGTCCTTATTGTAGTCGCCTTTGATAAGCTGCGCAATTCTCTCACGATCCTCCGAAAAAGAGGGTGCGGCTTCCCCCTCAGGTATGGGGGAAGCTAAACAGTACTAAAAAAAAAAAAAACGTATTCATTTTTTAATCAAATTCGATCGTGGAATTAAGAATTTATGTGAACTTACATGAGCTACAAGGATTATCGAAAGAATTACAACTTTTAAATTCAACATTGTGCGATAAGTTAAGCGTTCGAGCATTTGTTTAGAACTAAATCAAAAAAAAATTATTAAAACTTTTACTTTTATTCAAACACTTAAGCTTATCAGTGCTTTGAAATCCAAATGTTAAGAAGTGAGCCTAAGGTTATAATATTAAAACACATTTACAAGGACATAATAATATATATATATATATTATATAAGAAAAATAAATAACCGCATTTCAAGGTTGAATGACAGAGAACTTATAAAAATTTTCAAAAGTAATCTATTTTTGATTTGTATTCAGTGAACATGATCTAAATATTTCTAGCACTTATATTGCCGTCTTTTTGGGATTAACTTATTTTTTAGCAAGAACACGAGACCATAAGAAGTAAAAAGCTGCACAATAGACTTTATTTTTATGCTTTTTTTATACTCACCACCAGAGAATAGGGGAATAATATTGTTCGATTAAAACGTATGAAATATGCAAAGGTCCAATAAGGTATATATGCATACATATGTACTCTCCAAGTACAGCATGTACTGAGGTCAACCCTGTTTTCAAAAGAGAAAAATAGCGTTTTTGGCTCATTACAACGGATATAGCGAAACTGAAAAAAAAAAAACATGAAATAAGAAGGGTGTGAGCGAGTCTTTTATATATCCACCACAAATATCCTAAAAATAAGTAAAAAAAAAAAAAAAAATTAATAAATTTTCTCCATATTTTGTCTGATTTTTTCTACTTTACGGAGTAAAAGTGAAAATTTGTATTCCATCTCTGTTGTAGGTTATGAGTAATAAGCAAAAAACTCAGAAGCTAAAGTTGCTTTCAGCTAAAGTTACATTGTAGCAGTGTCCTGTGACCAGTTCGATCAATTTCGAAATTCTTTTCGCAAATTTAAAAGCGTCATCTTTCATTTCATTTGCGGGACAATGGCTACCACGAATACTAGACTGCTGAGCAGAAGGACAAATGAAGAGGCGACCAATCGGACATATTCAGGAATTTATATAATTTATGGAATTTTTGAAGGTTGCTTCTGGCCGTCATCATCTATCTAGATTGAAAGACTTAAAGAGAGGAAAAGAACTACATTTTCATACTCTGTAATATTGGGTGGGCGCATTTGATTGTTTTTATTTTCAGAAAAAAAGGAGAGATTAATATTGCGTTTATGCTGTACTTTACAGGTAATGAACAAAAATGCACGGAAAGTAAAGGTGTTCACAGTTTTTGCTATGTGGGCGTATGGGAGTAGTAGGCATGTCCTTAAACCAGTTTGGATAATTCTGAAGTTCTTTTGCAAATATGAAGTCGATAGAAACATTTTTACGGCCGGGAGAACATTTTGCTACAGACATTACAAAAAAACGGATAGATGGACATACTTAAATCGATTCGGAATTTGATGCTGACCAGGAATAAATATAACTTGTCGAATCTCTTAAGTCTCCTTCTGGGCGTTGGAAACGTTTCGAATGAATATACCTCTACGCCTTCGATGATGAGTATAACAGAGATTTCAGAGCAAGATACGAAACATTATTTTATCGGAAATAAAACTCATGATTTCTCAGGATCTTCTCACATATTTATTAGCTTGACTTTGTATGAGGTCCACATTTTAAACTTGATGTGCTTTATCTGGTTAAACTGTTTACAATTTATTCCGACCGAATAAAATCTAAAAGAAGTGTTTTCGACAAACTCTTGTTCACCTTGAGCAGAACATATGCAGCATCATCTTTCCGGATTGCTTCTGAGGATTTAAGTGGAAAGCTTCGCTCATAGCTCGTCACTTACTTTCCTCTAAAGCGGACCTTTTCGAGTTTTTTGTCGGTGAATTAATTGAAAATCATTTCTCTTTCTGTTGTTACATCGTTAAGCTTCCAAATAGTACAACCAACCATGAATAGTCAAGCGCGACGCTTTATGCCATTGGAAGATGTGGGAAAAAAGAAGAACGCAACTCTTTCGTTCGCGCTGGTATTGCCTTTTAGCTCCCAAAAAAAGAATAATTCTCGTTGAGCGAATTATTTTATCTTGCGGCCCTCATATGAAATATAAAATTGCATGCGGCTTTGGTTCACCTAAATTGTGTTCACCGCTGCTTTAAGCTATTCACATTCCTTCGTTTTTGTGTGTGTTTTTTTATATGCGCAAACAATTTTGTTCGCAACACAAAGCATGAGGGAAATTCTTTATTCACAAAGGGAAAATTGTGTACAAAAGTGCGATTAATGGAAACCGCTTTAAACACGCTGCGAGAGACCGTAACACTGGTAGATTAATGAAAACAGTCGCCGGGCTGCTAGCCACAGTGCGATGACTCGGCACAATCCTACTAACTTGTAATAAAAAAAAAATGTTGTGGCCATGTGGCATAAGCTTTTTAGCAATAATAAATTCCGCTACCATTTACATTGAATAAATATGCGTACACAGAATATTTCATCATACAAACAATATATTTTAGTATGAATAGCCCGAAAAGTTTATTTGCTACCAAAAATGAAACAATTTGCTGTGATAATCCCGAATTATTTTATTCGAGAACTTAATTAAAAAAAAAAACCAAATATTTAACCAAATATTTCACTTACTCACAGGACATCTTTAAAAACTCTACAAAAATTTGCAAAATTGACCGCAAAACTATCAAAGCGGATCAAGAAAACTCTTTTTGCTTTGAGTATTCTGTTAGCAAAACCAAGCATTAATAGCTTTCTTTTACAATAAAATTATGTGGAATAAGTATAACTGTCGGTTAATTTCTTCCGGGATTATGTAGAATAACTTTTCTCCCCCAAAACTCAGGTTTACACGTGAATATAGTCTGGGTCAAGAGTTCTGCAAATAGACTTTATTAACATTTCGTTATTTTTTCTATAGAATAATTTCTCAAAACTCTCAACATATCCTTCAATTTCGGTTTAGTTAACATTTAAGCCCAAACTTTCTTCCTGCGTCGTGTTTTTTTAAAATACGAAAACGCTCAACGGAGTTACTAGGGCAACATTTCGAACTACTATCTATGCAATGTTGGCTTGATAGCTGTCGGCTCGTAAGGCAGCTTTTTATATTACAATTTTCATGGGAAATAGCAAAGCGTCTGCGCCTGGACGCTTGTATGATTTCAGCTATCTCGTACAACTTCACTTCTTGATCATCGTAAATAATTTTCGATCTTCCACTGCGTTCAGCGCTGTCTCTCTGTATACTATACCGTTTAGAATTCGAAAAATTACCGACAAGAGTTACCATAACACTTTCCAAGTCAATGTCTTATCTTTCCGCCAAAGTCTTATCAGACACCATCGTCTGATCAATATTCGGAATCTTGTATTATTGCACTGTTTCGAAAGTAGTAAAAGTAGTGCCATAAAAATCGCTATAACACGAACGATAATAAATTATCGGAACGGTCCGAAATGTTGACAAGCGCTGTTCGAGGATTGATATATTTTGAAAAACTTACATCATCGTTTGTTAGTCATGACATTTATATGACAATCTCGAGAATTATTGATCAATACGTTATGTGTACTCTCAAGCAAATTTCTTTAAGTTTGCTTTCGACATAACCAGAGTACTTCACATTGCTCTATTAAACTTGTTGACATATGGTGAAAGAACATTACAACATTAATCAATTTCTCTTTTCCCTTTTGTTAAATAGTAAGCGAAAGTGCATCAAATGAATTTAAAATTGATTTATATCAATTTTTACTTTTTCGTTACTTTTTTTTATTCATTGATAAATTAAATACAATATTAAATAAACTTCGAATTAGTTATAGAAAAAAGAAGGCAGCAAAAATCCTTTCACGTCTTCCAACACTAAGCTAATATTTCATTTATAGTTTATATATCTTACGAACACGTTTAACTTCCAATACGTTTTCTACGAAAATAGAAATGTGTGCGCTGGTGTATGCAAGAAAACGAAAGCAATTTTCGTAAATCGAACGCAAAATCCAAGAATGTTCAAAATAGAATTACAAGATTTTCAACGCTATTTACTTACTAAACGTTTAAGAATGAAGAACAAATTGTTCACACAGCTAATCATTACCATCATCATTTCAACTAATAATATCATGATGAACAATCTACAGAAGCATACACTTATAGATATATATATATATATGTAGTGGTTATTGCGAATATGCATGGTATGCTTTTGTGTGAATGTGATGAGTGTGAACAAAACTTGTTAAAAGATTGTGGAAATTCGATTATTTAGTTCAGAATATCGCAAATTATACGATATTTCCTTTAAAAGGAAACCAAAAATTGAAAGGAAAAAACCAATTATATAGTTGCACATAATTCTACGTTGGTAAATAGAAAAGTATTTGCTTTTATTAGGAATGAAATTGTGCAATGGTGCAATGGTGCGAATGTATTATAAGAATAATATAAGAAATTCATTTTTGAAGTAAGTAATAATACCATTAAATAATATGATATTAATTTTCGGTATTTTTACACTCATTGTTCGCGATGAATGGTGCTTATGCCAAGGTTATCAATTATTACACTTAAGCATAGCAAAAAATGGGATCGTTCACGTCTCTATATTAATTTAAAAAAAAAAAACAAAAAAATTTTCTTTTAATTAGAAACAATTTTTCTTCTTATTCAATAGCTTACTTCGAATAGCAAGAGTGGTGAACATGTCAAATATGTCAAATAAACATAGTGCAGTTCACTAAAGGATAATACGCCTTGGCGAGTTTACATCTTGTGTCTTGCATTGCGGTCGGCCCTATTTTAGTTACGATTTACATATTGTCACAGGTTGCAGCTTCAATGTATTCTCGATTGGTAAAGGCGTAGCCGTTATAGATGCAGCATACACCACCCAACCAGCCGGCGTTCTTTCCTATTTCCATTTCCGCTACCATACCTATCTTTATACAAGTTTTTCTTTCAATGATAATATGAGCGATCACTCCGGAGGTATACGGGTAACATGATGATAGTCAGAACGAAGTGGGGCCAAAGAGAGACCTAGGAAGTGCGTGCAGCATTCGATAATTGT